ATTTATTTGGTTAATTACGATATAAATGTACAGGTCTGATGAGAATTTATCGAAAATAAACGGATGTTCGTCAATTCATCTTCCGAAATTTTCAATGGGAATTTTCACAAATTTGAAAGTAGATAAGTTGACAACAGAGCTTTGAGAGATGGAACCGAAGTGCCCGGCAAAAGATTAGTGTGCTGGGAATAGACGCAGAGTTGGGTCAAACCTACCGCATTGTAGAGGTAGCGCAAACCCTGGTGCTCCCGAAACAGCTCAAATGTGGCTCCGTAGCACAGAGCGATGCTGAGGAAGTAAAGGGAGTAACAGCGCGCAGAGGGATGAGCACATTCTATTAGCCACAATGAGTACATGATGAGGTTGTGGAGAATGGGAGACGGCAGTTGACAAACCTTAAGGAAAAAAAAATATACACAAAGGAATGAAAAAAAGCTGTATATTTATGCTAGTCATATGGTCAGCGAGCCAGGACAGAATAGCTGATGCTATCCTTGAGGAAAAGCATTCAAATCAGGAGCATGCAAATTGCAAGGTAGAGCTACCGCCAGGTTCAATGCCACGCCGAATAAACAGAATGTTTTATTATAATAAGTGGCTGGTGGGGGTTATTTTCTGGACAGCCGTAAGTGGAACACAGTGACTTGAAAGTGACATTATCAGCGTTATACGTAAGAAGACAGTCGGATGTCATTGATTGGGGACTTTCGACAGGGTCACCTTCCTGTCCATCTGGAAGCAGTTGAATACTGCTCAGAATACATGGATTGTGTAACTAACTATCCTAGATTTGGTTTCGTGTTTTCTTTAATCCCTATGGACAGGGTTGAAAAGCGTACTGGGGCGAAAGAATTCGGTAGTGAAAATCAGCACCTCCGTCAAACTTTCAGGTAGTAAGAAGTACAAAGGAGATGGAAGAACAACTTAGCCTTCTGCAGTCTTAGGGGGCCGGCATTGCTCACCTATCTGAAACGTCGATCTGGCCACGAATAGCCATCTGCCATGGGGCGAAAAAGTCTCATTTAATCAATGAAGACCAACGCATTGCGTACTAATCGATGTGGGAAGCGCCGATGGGCGCATACTACAACGCGTCCGAAAGAAATTGAAAAATGTGCGCATCTTAGATCTAACGAGTGAACACGGCATCATCACTACTGGAAAGGTGTGCAGCTCCGAGTGAAAAAAATGAACTGAAAAGGCGAGCGCACGGTCAGGAAGGCGTATGCAGCCTTGCACTAAACCATGATGTACAGAAATGGACTAGCGTACCGAGTCATAGGTGTGATGATATTGAGCACGTCAATCATGCATTATATTAGTTAACTTCTTTTTAGCAACCAGACTTTATCCGAAACAATTTTTTTTCCTTTTTTCTACATTCTCACCCTTCAATTCCTACTGTTCTGTTTTTATTGTTCTGTATTCGCGTTCGCCTTTAACCCGACCAGCATGCGTTGACATTATTCGCTAAACTGCTCGTCCGAGCACCTCAAATGGATATTAACTTTTCGATTGTTTGGCCTACCTTATTAAATGCATCGTGCTCTGCTAATCCTACGATTTGCTACTATAGAACCACACAGGGTAGTTGAGCTATTCCGGCTGCTTTCTGACATAGGATTTGACCTTTTTTGCCTCTATGTGGGTGAATACAATGACCGTTTCATAAATAAAAATTTTGAGAACATCAACAATACGAACACACCTAGATCAACTAGTTCAAAGGTTAAGACGCAGGAGGCAGCAGTCGTAAGGGTGATGGGGACAGTAATTGGCAAGAGTGACGGAGGGCACGCTCAGTAAACTATTGTTATTAATATCCGCTGTTGCCTGGCGTTGGGTATGGCCAATGCTTCAAGTCAGGACGAGAGGCCCGGTATGGCTTCGATGTTCACTAGCGCATCCACTAAAATGATGACATGACCGATCCCCTAGGCGATGTCGCAACAAGTTATAACGCGGACCATTGATAAGAAGTAGGCGCGATCGCCTGACGTTTCGGATTCGTCTTCAAATTTATCAACAAAGACAGTATCGGGGAGTTTCGGTATTTCTAGGATGCGGTCGCATACCTAGAAAACTAAAAGGCTACCCCCTGCATCGAGGATGATTGTACTCTGGTGCGATAATGGTTTTATGGCCCGCATTCAGGTAGATAAATGATGAAATTTTATCATTGATTAGCGTGATGATTACTTGGCTTCTCGGCTCACTGGTACTGGAATTAGAAAAGGTATTCGCACAGGGAAGCATGTATCCGAAATGTCAGGCAGCGATCGTGTCTACGTCTGCTCAATTACTTCCTGGGACTCGCATTTTTGCAAAACGAAGCATCGTCGGCGATAGGAAATGAGCCGGTACTGATGGAATGGAACCTACACGCAATTGGCACACGCTTTGGTAAAAGAAGGGTTGCCACGCCACGTCACAAGCGAAACATTGAAATTATTCAAGGCTGTTGAAGATGTAATTCTATCAAGTTACCCGCTCCATAGCGTCCTCGAAATAGGCCGTATAGTAGAGCACAACGCTGACCGCTGTTGCAGCGACCGATGGTCTGGGCACCTGTAGGACTAGCTCCAGTCCCCGGGACTCGACGAAGTCCAGATGGATACAACGATGACAGAGGAGATTTGCCAACAAACGCAAGGCCTCAAAGGTCAGCCGAATGTCTCGGGCAGAGGAATCGGCTTCAAGGAATTTGTAGACATAGCGCAAGACGCCGCCGTCATACATGTAGGGCATCATCTGTACAGGAGAAGGAGATAAAAACTCGAGTATAAAACGCGTTAAGCAGCAGAAAGTTTCGAAGAGGGATCAGAGAAATTGAAGTGATCACGGGAGAAATAGGGAGAGAAAACTGAAGATAAAAACAAACGTGACTGAGTAAGCGCGCACAGTGGCTATAGACTGCAGATAATTTTACGAAACTGAAACTACTGGTAGTCTCCATTTGCGACTAATAAGTATCTGTTTTCAAACAGGTGACAAACCTCGTTTTCTGGCTATGGTATTTCGATCTCCCGTAAATTTGTTGGCGTTATAAAGGGCAGTAATTATGAAGGATAATCCCCTGTAGAAAACAGTTGAACTGACAAAGGCGCAGCACTGTTTTTAGGCCAAACAATACGCTGACACAATGTTTAAGGCGCGGGTACTTTCATCCTTTTTTAGGTAAGGGGCTCAAGTAGTGTTCCTTGCCTATTGAAAAAACTTGCGATGTTCCTTGCTTCATATAGATTCCCTAAGCAGCATGGAGTATGCGAGTACCGTTAGTGTTCAGGTATACGACTGCTGGCATTCGAATTGCTTTTACGTGTGTTACTGAAGATAGGCATTTAACGCTTTTACAGCAAAACTGCAAACATGCTCTCGAATATGACCACTGTTCTTAAAACAATTTTGAGGCGAGAAATCAACTTAAAATTATCAAACGTGTTGACGTGGATCCAAGGCATTGAAACAGTTTCTTTACACAAATCGGAAATGTTAAAGATGTCGAAAACAAAGCAGGTTACTGTTGACTGTCAAAGCGAGAAAATATCACCATAGAGGGCAAGATGAACTAGTAGGAAGCTTACATCTTGATATTCAGCAAGAGACGTCAGGTAAGACATACAGAGTCGCAGTTTCATCTCCAGTGTCATCGGCTCCAGACAGAATGAGCCCAATCGGTTGCTAAAACCCACGTCATTCGTAGATTTAGGATCTAAAGATGAGAGAGAATGGAAACGTATGACTATGATTATATGACGTAGGATTATAAGCAACAACTAAGGCAGCTACTTGGGCCGAAATTCTCAGTCACCGCTAGGTGAGTATTGACGACTCGAGGTTAACGCTGATCAACCTGCACAGCACGGCCATCACTCTTTCCATCCAGTTTAAGCAGGATTTAATTGCAAAACGGATTCAATACAAGTAGGGGATGCGTTTGCACTGCATGCCTGACTACGCGCTTTCTTCTCTGATCTACATGTTTCACAATGCATCCTTGCTTTGTATTTTTGTTAGGAGAGGTCTCTTACGTTTTTACAACTGTAGCTATAAGTCATTATATGGGAGTCTGCCGGACACTCGGCAGGCCTAATGTTGTAGCACTATCGTCAGGACTAACAGGGGGAATATAAGCAAACAAATTTCAAGTAATATGTAGTCAACAGCCAGAGAAAAAACCTACTCTGGTGTATATCCTTTTCAAGTTGGGCAATGTAGGACGACATGCGATTGAGTACGATCGGAACCTAGTGCAAGTAATAGGGCTAAACATAATTAAACTACATACCAGTTCGATGTTGCGATGTTTGGTGACGTACAATAACTCCGCATTATCTAATATGGACCCAAGGAGGAGGAGGGCGTAGCAATTGGTTGGTTCTGCATCGCTGAGAGCCAATTTGTATAGCGTGTTGACTGTGATATCCTACAAGAGCGTGAATGTGTATATGAAAAACAGGTCAAATCAATTACCCCCTCGCCGACAGTAAAAGACAAGGTTACACCAAAGTGTATGCTGCAGAGGAGGCGAGCGGCAGCTCTGACAGTGGGGTCATTGGGATCGTCGTTGCCACAGAGGTAATCAGTGAGTCGCTCAAAAAAGGAGTCATGCAGGGTGATGAGACGTAGTAGTTGGCCGAGCTCACAATTGGAGTCAGTTCGGAGGGGGTGACGATCATCGAGGGGATCGGGGTCAGTTCTGTAGAATATGTTGATTTGTTCTTCGAACAACTCAGAAAACCTAGAGGGCATAGGTAGAGGGGAGGGCCAACAAACAACTTACTTGGTGAGTATGCTCTGTGGGTTGAAGCCGGGAGAGTTCCGAGCGTTGCGCCACTCTAGCATCAACTCCTCAAAGCGACCTGTCGCATGCAATTCGAGGTCGTCCTCGTTTGACATAGTCATGAACGATGGAAATAAACTGGGCATAGAAAGAGAGCACTCAAGACTATGACATATGACGGCAAGACCAAAGTTTGAAAAATTGAAACCACAAAAAAGTAATGAGAAAAACTCAAAGAGTCATTTATAGTTCACAAACAGGGGGGAGGTGGTATAGGAGACGAAGAATTGAGGGACCCTAAACTACCAAAATACTCGACATTAATATAGAAAAGGCGTGTGAACTTGGAGCTCCCTCTCAGTAATGGGGGTGTACGTATCCATCTGAAACGTACATTTCGTAAATTGTCAGATGGATGTCAGGGTTAGGTGTGGCTCTTAAATTTATACTTCTTGCTTTATTGAAAGCAAGACGTAAGGCAGCTGCACCTTCGCTTCGATCCAAATGGGTTATTGGACTCTAGATGTGGAAGAATTCTTCCATGAAGACAGCTTAAAAGAGACATAGAGCGAATCAGGATATCCAGCGTACAAATGAACAGGGTAGCACTCAACGTTCATCAGAAACTTGTGGGGCCTCAAGATACCAGGAGCTTGACCTATAAACAGTAAAGAGTCAAGACTGGGGAAGATGGGTTGCCTATTAGCCTAGATGATAGCTACTTGATGTGTCTACTTACGGTATTAAGAACCATGCTACGGCTTCCGTGGGAACCGATGCACTCCGGAATCTTGGTTCATTGGCGTGGGCGACCAGTATGCGGGCTGGAGTACCCAACCGGGAAGCTCTTGGTATTGGATGTTGGAAGGTGCTATGTTTTCTAAACCCTGGTACACAAAGTCTAATGGCGCGCAGTTTTTACTAGTACCAAGTGGATATATGTCACCTATCCGAAGTCCGAATCCCTTAGTCAAGCACACGCGAAATCAAAATCCCGGGTGTCAACTCCCACTTCATTCTATACCACAGCTGCCTATGGACCTCCTCCGGTAGACACGGTTTGGTTATTGTCCTTTCGGAACAAGCAAAGCATGCACTATTTACATGAGAACCAGTCAGTGAAGGGTCACTTTACTAACATCTCTGGTGCCAATACAAGCGAACGTGCTACTGCGTTGTGATTATGTCTCTGATTATGAACCCACAACGGATATCGAAACGTCAGACGAATAAAAGTATTGTCCCAGCGATCGATTCATCTTTTTTTTAACATCTCTGTGTATGCACCAAGCTCATCAAGCGTACAGCGCGATAAGAAGATATTCTACTCGCAGGTGTAGATGTTAGTTAAAAGATTCCCTCGCCATGATTCATTGATTGTTGTGGTAACGCACACGGGTCCGAACATGTTTTTGTTCGCACACGCCTGAAGGTTTATCTTTTATCTAAAACCACATGCGAGACGCCTCGATGTAGCAAAACTTCGGCAACCCAGCACTACCGAGGCTCTGAGCACAGAGATCTGGTCTTTTTTACGACCCGAGCCGACAGTGAAGGCAATGGCCAGTGGTCATCACTGAAAACATCCGTCCACGGGGCGGCTAAGATTCACTCAGTGGTGCCGCAGTGACTGGCTTAGCGGAAGAACCCTGCAGTTCTCTGTCTAGACGGCTCGAGTCAGGTACCGCAACGACGCTTCCTTTCACCAACTCCGGAAAATTACATCAAAGTCGGCTAGAGATGACCGGCAGACATATTTGTCCGAAACAGCGACATCAATAGAGCAGGTCTCAAATGTTGATTGCACTCGAAAACTCTACCATATGATCCATCAAGTTAGTGATAAGTCCCCGTCACTTAGCGGCTGTGTTTTCGATGTGAATGACAGATTTATGGCTGACAAAAGACAAAGTTTTTCCTCGGCGTTAGCACTTCGAACACCTCCAAAACTTTGATTAGCAACCAATCACACCCCCGCTCTCCTCTGCAGTGGATTTTTATTCTTCTCCAGATTATGCAGTGTCTTGTGATGGCCATTTAATGGAGAAATTGCAGATACAGTACAGAGGCCGCACAAACAACAAGGCGTCCAGAAAGGACGGTATTCCGGTTGAAATCTACAAGTCTTTGTCGTGCTAATACTACTCTGACCCTCGTTCACAATACCTTCTCACTCTCGTTGATTAACGTTCACCCCTGCCTCCTAACGAACGCTTGCTTATTGTCTATATTATTCTAACCACTCTTCATCCATTTTTAGTTCTTGTACGGCAATTATAGGATGAGTAAAGCCCTATTCTAGGGTACGCAATTCTTCATTTTCCTCAACTGTTTGGCTATTGCGTACTGAATACCACAACTATATTCCAATCACGACAGTCTTGTGTCCCCAATTCGACGCCTTGGCTCCATGGGATGACTCAGAAAGCTTGGAGAGATTAATTAGTTCCCAATAACTGGGGTTCGAACATCCTTGTGTCTGCCTTCAAGGGAGGCAAGACAAAGTGCTAGAACTACCGCCATATAACCCACACCGACATAGCTGCCAAGGTCTTCACTATTGTCCGTATCATTGTCCGTATCAGTCTGTGCGTGACTCTAGAACGAAGCCCAGCCACGTCGGATTCCAAGCTGAGCGTGGATGCGTGTATAAGATAGTCGCTCCGAGGCGCATTCTGAAACTGGCCATAAATACGAACAACTGACAACTGTCTGCTCTGTTGACTTTGTCGCTGCGTTCGATTCCGTCCATTGTCAGCCCGTGTGATGAATAAGGAACCTATATGGTATTTCAGTCAAAAGCATTGCCATTATCAACATCTATTATCGCTCCAGCACTGCGCGAGTTCTTGTCCAGAACAATCTTTTCCAACCATTTGATATCCGGTCTGATGTTCGACAAGATCGCATCCTGCCACCTATATTGTTCAACTACGCTATTACGGAAGGGCTCTAGGCGGATTTGACTGTGTGGAGTTTGCACCCGGACGGCAGCTGACTGATCAACACTACACTGACGATACCACCTTGCTAACATCCAACTTTAGTTATCTACAGTCTGCGATATCACGAGTTAATGAGATCGCTACTTCGGTTGGGTTATCCATAAACGCTGAGAAGACCTATGTGACATTCATCAGGTCAATGTAATATTCGGGTTTATTTGCTACTAACTGCGTGTTAGAAACCCGACATGGCCGTAGCGTGTGTCTTTAAGTCCGCTTAGTCACCCACCTATGCCCCACTTTCTGTGCTTCATGTTCTTCGTCCCATTTGCTGTGCCCCTTGACCACGTTAGCTGCTTTCCCATTCGTTGACACAACACGAATTTTATCCCCATTTCCTTATTCACCATTTTCCACGGTCTTTGTTCCCTGCATTGTGTCCTTATTCGCCCCCTCGTTCTTTGATTCATGCCCCGTGTCCTTATTCCCGTAGAAACTGGTAGCAACGCGTCTGCAGCATGCACATGACTGCTCTTCTAAGCAATTCGAATGTATATTCATCCTCCTTTTGATTTCAACCCCGTATTTTTTACCTATCACACACGGCAATCCGTTTATTTCCATAGAACCACACTATACCCGAGTTATTCCGACTGGCATTTGACATAGTTTCTGACCTTGGGTGCGTCTATTCAGGTGACAAAACTAGCACTGAATCAGAAAGGACTAAACAATACTAACAACCTACTTGATGTTGAGCTGCATCTCTGACCAAAAGAAGGCACCCCTGGGGATTAGTGACTGTCAACTTGAAGAAGGAGACAGCTTCAAATATATCGCGGCGAGGCTGCTGCCTAATGGGCAAATTGAGGACTACGATGTCTCCCGAATCGATGCTGCCCACCGTGTTTTATATACCCTTCGAAACGCCTATTTATCTGACGCGACACCTCCATCGTCCTGAAGATCAGTGCGTACCGTGCATTCGTCAGTCTTCCTTTACGGTTGTGAATGCTGGCCTTTGAACGTTGAAGATGAGCGAAGGCTCTAGGTATTTAACCGCCACTGCCTGAGAACTATCCTTCGAGTGAAATTAACAGATTTCACATTCGCTGTGACAGTATGATGAGGATATCTCTGGTTATCTAAGAATGACGAGTGAGGTGGTTCGCCGTCGTCTGCCTCACGAGCTCAGCTATATGCCGTGACTGTCTATCTGGAGGCATCGAAGAGGTAAATTCAAGACCTGGTTCGACAGTGTTCGTTAAGGCATGCAAACGGTTCTTGAATCTTCGGCATTCGGTCTCCGTCGCTTGAGTAGAGAATAGATTGAGCTGTCTAGGTCCACTGCCGCAAATTGTCACACCTGGAGGTACAATAGGTGGCATCATAGAGGCCGCCTAAATCTTTATTATCACAACCGTACCAAGCACAAATAAGTAGTAAAGAGCAAGGTTGGGAATCAGATGGCTTGAACGTTAAAACCTTTTATACATTATTATATTGCATCCAGAGCAAGACCACGAACGGAAGGTTGTAGGCGACTACACTCTTGACACTTTCCTGGTGTACAGTCTTTGTTCACCTGTTGAAACCTTATCAGCGATCAGTAATTAAACCTCAACACTGATACAAAAATTGGTGAACGTTATGAAACACGATGTAGAGCATCGTCACTTCCAAAATGCAAAACACAATCACGGCCAACACCTAGCAATCCGAATTACAGTACTGCCTGGCGAAAGTCCGGTTATCTAATTCTGGCGGCAGTGGTTAAGGTATCCGCGCCTGATAAAAATCTAGTAGTGTATTGTGGTAGCATACATGACCGCGCCTGCACATCTGAAAATGCAGTCACGTTACACCAGAAAATGAAAATTGCGTTCGTTGTGTGGAAGGGCAACTCAGTTCGCGGGGCATAAATAGAATAAACAGGCCGGGTTTCATGCATAAGTAAACTTGTCTACGCACCCCGTAAAGGGATCAGGGAAGTTTTATTAAGGCACTTGTGACTTTGACCTTTATGACAATGGGCCGTAGTAAATTTTGCAAGAAATTTTAGAACGCGCGCCGCACTGTGGTTAAACGTGGTGAACCCCGAATGTACCGGTAGAACGTTCACGGCAAAAGAAGCGTAAATGTGCTCTAAGAGGAAAGAAACCGTCACATAA